ACACCGTTAGCGATGCTGCTCACCATGGTGCGAATGATGTTATCTCTCATTGAAAAGTGGACACTGAAGAAGAAAGCGAAGCGCACGTCTGTCTCCGATCCGGAGAAGTCGCTTTCGGATATGTCAGTATCAGCGGTCATGTCCGTATCGGTCTCCGAGTACTCGGCTTCACTGTCCGTAACAAGCTCGAACTCGCTCTGTCATGGTAACAACGCGAGTGAGAACAGACGGTAGGCTTAACGCGAGCTCCATGATTTCGGGAGCAGTCTGATGGCGACGTACGCCCACAAGGGAGGCCATCGAACTCAGCTGACGAGGGGCGCCGCCAGAGTCGGTCCTAGGGCGAGAGACAGGAGCCGAAGGCGAGTCCACGTGCGGAGCAGCCACTTGGATGAGCGTGCCTCTGGATCACACGCAGAGAAGCAGAGAGAGGAAAGACGAAAGCTAAGAACAGCTCTCTATTAACACCGAGAGCTGAGGCATGAGGCTCGTACTTGCGCACTAGCTTTTTGTTATTCACCTTGAGCCATTCTGATTTGAATTGTACCTAAGTAGCACCCAGCACAGGAACATGGGCATGTGTGAGTCCTTGCTTACCCCCAACGTAACGTTCAACCAATAATAAATCAATCGATGCTTGAGCAGGCACAGCGCTAGAACTACGACGTACAGTAAGGACTGCTTCCTTGGATTCGCCCTTCTTTGTGCCGCCCATCTTGACCTTGTACTCCTTGGAGGCCTGCCAAAGTGCTCACACCGCGGTGAACATAGGCACACGGTACCGAGATCTGGAGGGGAGACGTACGTTGGTGCCATCAGCGGCGTACTCGGCGAGATCGATCGTGACCTTGCCCAGCGAGGAGCTCTTACCCTGTTTCGAATGAAACACACCTCAGACTCCGAGCCCACAACCACCTCACACGCATTCATAGACGGTGATCAGAGGGGTAAAGGAGGATGGGGGCTACCTCTCGCTTGATGGAGAGCAGAAGGCTCTTCTTGTCAAACTGAGGGCCTGCGCCACTGCTTGCGGGCTTGACCGGCGAGCTTGCCGCTGCAGTCTTGGCTGGCGAGGTCCCCAAGACCGCGGCTGGTGCAGCACTTGGCGTAGCAAGGGAGGAGGAAGAGGAAGAGGAAGAAGAGGAAGAAGGAGAGAAGTGGGCAGCCATGGTGACCTCGAGCCAGATGGATTCGCCCCACATCACCACACCACCAGTCGATCGAATGTGCTTGGTCTCTCCTCTGTTCTGTCGCTTGCGGCCGCGCTTCCACACTACGTAGATGGGCCGATCGTTTGCAGACGAGGGCAGCCCGACGATCAACTTGAGGAGAATATTGAATCGCACCTTCACCGCATCTGCGGGAGGTGGAGATGAGAATCCCTTGATGGCGCTGCCCTTCTTGCTCCTCCCTAGGAGAGAACTGATGGAGTGGCTCCTCTTTAGACGCCGTCCGCCGCTTTCCTCCTCCTCATCCGAAGATGTTGAGCTGGAAGAGGAGTGATCCGTGTCCTCGTCGCTGCTGTCATCGTCGCTGTCCTCGCCCCCCGTCTTCTTTTTCGTCTTTTTCTTCCTCTTCACTTCCTTCTCTTTCCTGAGCATCTTGGCCATGAACTCCTTGTCCTTTTCCTTCTCCTTGTCCCCCTCCCTCCAATCTGCGACCCTGAGCGTTTGGCAATGAAGCTCATGCCCTCTCCCACGATGCAGCCAGCTCTGTAATCTGACCCAATCTCACCGCCTTTTTTGATCTGATAAAAGCCGGAAATTGCCTGGCAGCGTGAGGTCGATTGGAATGTACATTTTCGTTATTTTTGATCTTCTTTGCGCCGCAAGGCCCAAAGAAAATCAAAAAGCCTTGAGATTTTCAGTGGGGAAGCCGACGCCACCGACCTGCATGGTGTTGAGCCCGTTGGCCGACTCCTTGTTGGTGTACCTCTGCCGCATGAACTCAGCGATGGTTATCGGCTCTTTGAACTCCCTGTCCAAACATACAGCATACGCCAACACCGTATCAAGTGAGAATTGGGCAACCAAACATGCAGCACGCAACAGTCGGTGCGCACCAATAGGCGGGACCAAGGACAGGACTGTTGAGCTTGACCGTGTCCATTACGGCGTCTGGCCGACCGCGGCAAAGATAGACTAACGAGTATCGCTCCTGCCCCATCAACTCAACCGGTGGTGGGTTCACCTGATGAACGTGTGTGCATTAGGTCAGCTCTGGCTATCATCAACGCCAGGCATTGAATCGGAGAGGAGGGTTGGCTGGACATGTACCCGATGCATAACGGCGCGGTAGTAGTACATGGTGAGCCGTTCCATCATTTCACCGCAGAAGACAATCACCTCGTTCTTCGTTGTGGAGAGCGGCTCGGCTAGATTGGTGGTGGTCGAGCGAATGATGGCCGTTAGGAGTCTGGTAGCTACAACCATTTGGAGCATGGGGACATAGAGCTCTGTACCATCGATCCACTCGAAATTGTCCGGGTGAAGCATTTGAAGTTGGGGCACCGTCGTCACGGGGATGATGGTGAGGAGTCCAATGTCCGTGTGCACCTTGCTGTACAGCAGGGATAGGATCACTTAGTGCTCATGAGGACCCGCGTCATCCAAAGAAAGACAGAAAGTGGAGTGGTCGAGTTGGGGCAGTACCAGGGCTCATCCTCGGGCAGGCACGGTTTGTTCTTGTAGCGGAAGTAGCGGAAAAGAGTGCTGCCGTAGAACGTGTCCACCTCCTTCTCTTTGCGCTCCTCCAAGTCCAAGAGATTGACGAAGTGCTCCGCGTCGACCTTGATTCCCTCCGCCATCATCTTGAAGCATTCTGCAGGTGGTTGCGGCCGCATAAGGCGATCAATCGTGAAGAAGAAGAAGAAGAAAGAGCTCTGTTTGAACGGGCAAGGGTATACCTTTGGTGATGCGCAGCATGAGGTCATAGTACTCGAGCGCCACCTCCTTGAAGTTCTCCGGCTGACTTGGCCACACTTCTGTCGGACTCTTGGTATATCGCATCTGACCAAAGAGAGAGATGAAACATGGCGAATAATAGGCAATGGCCTTGGGGAGTGGTGCATACCTGGTAGAACTCTTTGATGTGCGGCATGTTGACGTACCCGACGTCGCGCTGTTCGCGCATCCTGTGATGTTTCTTGGCCTCACCGGCAAAGAACTGTCGCGCCACCTCGTACGACGAATTGATTGGACCTGGACAGGTCAAACCGTAAGAGCAAGCACCAACCTCAACAGCCCTAGTTTTATTTATTCATTTATAATCATTTATATTTGATATATATCAAAAATTAATAGCAATAAAAACGCAAACAATCAAAACAGCACAAAAATTGTCTGAAGGTTGGAGGAGGTACCCATCATAGAGTCAGGGAGGGAAAGAAAGACAAAGCCCACCTTGCGCAGGCTCTCGACGAAGGCCGCGCGAGAATCAGCTCCTCCCTCGGGATTGGCAATGTCCTCCCAGGCCACGTGGGCAGCGTCCTCCGGCTTGAACGGGACGTACGAAGGGGGAGGCGGCGCCTCTGCCTCGAGCACGGCTCAGGTGCCACCTGTTGGTCGACAGACCCCACCGGCGACTTGGCAAACGCCTCATCGTTGCTCAAACGAATTGGATCTTCCATGGTGCCTTGATGTGTGTTGTTGGTGAGTTGATGCTGAAGGAGGGGAGGAGGGCTTGCCCTTGCCCCCGTCGAAGTGAAATCGGATTTCCGTGAATTGAAAGCCCCTTTTTTCGTGAGCGCTCTCTTTTCTCTGTTGATTTCCGTTGATGGAGGAGAAGCAGCAGAGGCAAGTGTTCGGGTTGGTGCTGCCCTTTCTGCGGGCCGACCGTGATGGGGTGGGCGTTCTGCTACGCGTGGCCGCCGTGTCGCGCACACTGCGCGGGCTGGTGGCAGAGGACGAGAGACTCTGGCGAACCCTCCACCTCGCCCGAGCCCGCTCGAGCACCTTACCAGCCGTGGCCTTTCACCATTCGTGGCTCAGATCGTTCTGGTGCCACGCCCCACAGAGCGCAGGAGGAGCGATGACTCCAGCCTCACTGCTCCAGGCGGCGCCCAGCACGGCCCTTCTTGCTGGTGCGCCCTTACTCTTCCGTGTAGTGGACCGGTTGACGCTGATGGTGAGCTTTTCGTTGCAGAAGCACATGCGACTCGCAAGCTGGGGAAGCTCCCGACCAGCGGCGACAAGGAAGCAGACGCCGATGACGGACTGCAGGTCGCGTTGGTGGCTGTTGCTGACTTGAGCCAACACGAACGCGAAGAGGGCACACC